AAATTAAACCTTATTTTCAATAAGCAATCCTGAAAAATATTTGGGGGTGCTTAACTTTTTTCCAGGTGTATATATATGTCTAAATATGTGTGCAGTGCTTCCTAACTTGACAGAATAGGCCCAAGTGATGGGGGGGGGGGGGGTCTCTGAGACAAAAACTCCCACTTGAAAATGAATGTCAGCAATATCAAGGGATTAAGACAGATTAGTATAAGAAAATTAAATTTTAAAAAGTAACTAATATGATCATATTTTAGAATTAAGTTATCAAGTTATAAATTATGATAAATAATATTTCTGGATATCTCAAAAAGCTGCAATCCATCTCAACACAGAAATTTCTAAAAAATAACACTGCTGTACTTTCAAACACTCAAAAATTACTGATTGCCTCCCTTAAAAATTTTCACTAACATTAATTCTTCACTGTCAAAAGATCTAAACATTTATCTGCATGAACTTCAAAACTTATAGGTACAATCCAACAGCAGATGGAAAATTTTCTGATTAAAAAGTCTGTCATACTTTTTCATTGACTCACATTTATTTTATGAATTTCTTGTGTATCTTTTATCTGGTTTTGTTTCACCTTCACAATTATGTTTTAACGTACATGCAGTGCAATGTATATGTTCCACTTTGTTCTGTTATTGCCATTCAAATTTGTTTCTGGTTTAGTTTTGATAACAATTTTAGACACTATCTGATGAAGGGCCTTGGCATGAAATATTGTCATCATTTGAAAATAAATTTATTATCTTCTACCAATTCTAATTTGACAGACAGACTTAGCTAGAAATCAACACAACAAACCCTCCCTAACATTGAAACATTACAGTTTAAATGTTGAAAGCTGGCAAAGCATTACAAACCAATAGGCCTAAAATCTATAATAAAAATCACTAACTAAATTAACTTGCATATAGATATATATTATTGCTATTACATCACATCTATTCTAGAATTCTCTGTAACCAATAATACAAATATCTTAAGTATTTAAAAGCATAATTCATAACAATATTTTAAGAAAGTTTCTGCTTTTCTGTAGGTTGAAGAAACAAAATAAAAAATTATTAGTTTCAGCTAATATCTTTGCCATTTTAATACTAAGCAAATGCAAATATACAGGCTTAATTACAAATATTAATTACAAAAATCAAGATATTACTTTCATTTTGTTCAAATTTTAACTTTTCTTTGACAAAAAAAAGCTGTTGGTTTACAGTACATGCAAGTTTCCATTTCTTGGAAAATCTTAAGTGCATAATATTTCCCTAAAATTAAAACCTACATCAGAAAAGCCCAATTTACGATTAAAGCTGTCATTTAGGTCGTCCTTCAGTTTTTACAGTACAGTACTAAAACTATAAACAAGTAAAAATTATCACATGGTCAGTCCCTTGGACTGAATCCATGTTAGTAGAGTTAAGTGTTTTTACAAGTTTTCAGTATATAAAATGACCCAGCCTGGGTTGAGTGGTTGCCAGAAAAATTAGGTTGACTTTTACACAAGATATATGAAAAATTATGATTTTTTGGTCAACTATTGCATGAGTATATATAGTACATTTAGAAAAGGAACTGTTGCAGTAGAAAAATATATTAACTTCAAATTTTAAATGCACTAAGTACACCTTGAATACAGCCCAAATAAAATAAACAAACAACTATGTTTTCCAATTCTAGAATATTTTATTCTGAACATTCAGAATGTATATACAATACAGTAGATTTCTGTTAACTGCAATGGCACTTCACCAGCATCTTAACTGAAATGGAGCAAAAATTACAAATAGTAGTATTTATATGAAATTTTGGGTTCACTAAAGACTGACCTTACCAGCATTAAGATTTGTATCAAAAAGAACAAGTTGATATCATAATACTTCAAAATGGCTGAGAAAGCCACTAGGTGGACATTCTGAGCTTTCAATTTGTTATTCACATGTCATATAGAGAAGTAAGTATATATAAGGAACTGTTTCCAAAAATGGAAAGAGGTGAGCGGGACCACTTTGTTTGATTCAGTACATGAGAGATATTTCAGCAAATAGAAAAGATAGGAGGTTCTTATTCTAACTTGTTATTATCGGTAATTTCAGTTCCTAATTCGTACGAAACTATAAACTTTGTCATTTAACATCTGATATGAACCAGTGCTGCATTCAACATACCACGTGACACACAAAAATCAATGTTTAACTGTGTTTTTTAATATTTACTTTTAAATTAACAAATTAAATAATGTATAATACTGAATATGAATTATAATCTGCAGTTTTATACCAAACTTATTGACATGAATTCATAAAATAGTAGTTCAATAAAATTTTGAATGCAAGTCAACTAACACGATAACATGGCCAGTTTTTGCAATTCCTACTTATATACTCTGAGGGATATAAGTGTATATCTGAATACCCCACTAAAAAGAATTTAAAGTAGCTTACTTTCATCTAAATTTTTCATGGCTTCTTTTCTTTTTTTAGTTCCTGAACTGTCTATACATGTTGTCACACAATAGGTTTGGTCACCAAGTGTTCTGCAAATTGTGGTTTCTTCATTTCCTTTGCTATCATGAATAGTTTTTTGCTCTTCTGTCCTCTGTTAAAAAATAACCATTTAATTACATTTACACAAAATTGTAATTTTTGATTGATAAAATCTTAGTGACTTACAATTTTATATTATATCAAATACATTTTCATGAAAATAAAGTGTGGGACCTGAATCATTTTAAAATGAATATATTGTTTGTAAATGGGATTTGAAAGCATTTCTTCATCTGGACAAGTTTTCTTATTTCTCTTATCTTACGCAATTTTTGAACTTTACCACTAGAAATGCATAACTTGTAGACTTATAAAATTTATACATAACATATTTCAACAGGTCATTTTTGCCCCTAAATAAATCTATTTGAAAAATACCAGCATTTAAATATGTTTATATCCATACTTACCATGCAAGTTCAATGCACAACATACAATGTATAGTCTGTAGTTTAATTAGAATAAGGCAGTTGACAGAAATATTTTGTTTGATTTATTATACTACAAAAGACCAGCAAAATATCTGTGGTCAAATTACTATCTCTATTGCAACAGTACTTTAAATACAGTATTTCTAGAATAATACAAAAGAATTCTAATTACAGACTCCAAAATCTATTATAAGTCCAGTTGTCTTAAGGTAGCATATACCCTTTACTTAGTGTTATCTAGGTTTTGGTCTTTTTATCAGAAAAAACATTATACTACGCTTTTGTATGAAAATATATTGAAATACATACAAAGACATTCTGGCACATGTTGTGTAATATTACCACTGTGGCTGATTTGTATATTATAAAAATAATGAAATACAAAAGAAATGTCTTATATTCCTGATAACTTATACAAATATGACTGAATGCTCCTGAAAATGGGTCCAGAATTTGATGGGATATGAAGAATTAGTCTCAACTAAGGAAAACTGAAAATTAATTTGAGGTCAAATTACAGTTCTAATGAGTATGCCCTAAGTAGAATATATGTTAGTGACTCATTAATAATCACTTAATAAAAACCAAACCTCTTATCAACTTGTCCTTAGTATACACTAATAATGCCAGCTGTTAAGTCTATAGCATCAACAGATCTGAAGTTATAAGTTAAAATCCACTATGAAATAGGTACAAAGACATCTTCTGACGTGTTGTGTAACATTACCACTGTGGCTAATTTTTAATGTGAATTTTCGGATTTTGAAATATATATATATATATATATTTGAAAATTTGGTACAAAATTGTTACTTTAAGGGTCTTTGTCTAGTTGAAAAAGTATACCACATCCTGCAAATTATGAAACTTACACCCTTCATATGTTTCTGGGTATTAATAAGCTCCTGGAGCATAAGTTTCACTCTCCTTGTCTTTTTTGGACTCCTCAAATTCCTTTTTTAATATTTTTTTTTCTTATCTGTTGCTCCTTTCACAGAAGCTTTGTTTTGTGCTTCAGATAACCTCTTCTTGTCTGCTTTAGCAAAAAATTTGTTGGGGAAACTTCTGTCACTGATGTTAAGCCGCTTGAGTTCCATCATCCTTGACAGTATTTCATCACTGAAAGTATTGACAGCAACAGCCTATCTTATATGTTTTGCACTAACAAAGGTGTCCTTGGGGCAATAATTCCATATTACATGGTTTAGGGACTCATTAGTATTTTGAATGATGCAATCTAAGCAATTTGTCAGGAGCTCATTATTAGATAACCTTTCAAAGATGGGCTTGGTGGCTTTCATTACACTCTCTGCCATGGAATGTTTGTGTGAATATTCTGGATCTTACACCATGGATTTTCACCAGTAGGACAAAAGTGGTGCTGGAGTTTGATGTCAGTTAATATTTTATGGTACCTAGTTGCCCAAATAGCATTCTGCATTCCTTCTATACTGTCTCTGTTTGAGTGTATAACTTTCCAATACCAGTTCTGGAGACTATCAACAACCTTATCAGTGAGTCTGCCAGTACCCCTACTTTTCTTGCCATTGCTGAGCATTTTACCTTTCATATCTTTTCTAGAATTTTACAAAGCTGTTCCTAGCCTCTTCTGAACATGTCCTACACACACTTTTTCCTCTCTACAATTCTGTCTCCATATGGTCTTGACTCCTTCACTGTATGGAGGGATTTACTGTTGCCATTGCCAATGTATGTTGTGTATCTGAGGCCTCTTTCCTTCTCAGATCTTTGAAATATCCTCACCATACCTACCAGTTCCACTGAAGGCAGGGAACCATCATAGTTTGCTAAGCAAATTCTATGATGTTCTTCCTTTTCCTTTGCTATCCTGTTGTTGTCTGAAAACCAGGAATGACAGTAAGTACTCAACAGTATAGTCTATGACTTTCCCAGATTCACTTGAAGGAACAGTGAAAACACCATGTAGGGAAGAGAAGCCCCATTTCTGGTAACTGTTTCAGTGGCATTCAAAACAGATGTGAAATGCTTGTCCAAAAACTGCTGTGTACTTGGTTGGTTCATGTTCATAAGAGCACAAAACAATTCTCCAGCAATTAGTGAAAAACTACAGTAAATGGAACAAACTGTCAGAAGTCTGATATTAAAGACAATGTGCATCCTCTTCAGTCTCATGTTGTCTTCTCTAGTATCAGATTTGCTATTAACAATACTGTGTTCTTTTATCATTAATTCTCCAGCAGTTCTACCTTTCCCAATGCATGACATAGCATATACAAATTGCTTGTTAGTGGCAAATAAGTTCTTTCCCATTTTTGTACTTGTATACAAAACTTTCCAATTATGATAGTTCATTCCTTTGCACACAAATATTAGAGTAGCAGCAAGTCCACTTCTATTGGTAATTTCTAAGCTCAACCTTTTCCCACACGAACAGTGGCAAAATTTACTCATTACTTCTGACAGAATGTCCATATCAACAAACATATTACCACTTTGAGTACAATCTTGTGTAATCTCTTCTTTCTTTGGTGGGGTCCCTTCAGAAGCTTACAAGTGTCCAAATGTTCTCTTAGTCGCTCTTTACACCATAGAATCTTGCTTAGAAGTTGAAGTTGCAGAACTAGTACCTGCACTATGAGTACCAAAAACTTGTGGCAACTCAAATGGTTCATTTGTACTGTTACTAAGCTTACCAGTCTTCTCTTCACTCAATTGTTTGTTTCTGGTGAATTTGTTACCATGAAACTTCCTCTTCTTTTATTTGTGAGGACCATGCTTTCTGTCCATCCTCAAATATTCATGATTTACCATGGGAATAAACACTTTTGATGGCAAATTACACTATGGGAATTAGTAAAAGCACTTTCTTTGTTCAACATATAGTTTTATTTTTGTGACTCACTCATCAATGAAACATTATTGGCAAAGGGGGGTAGCAAGAATGCAGCATTTTGATAAGCAGGGGGAATTACAGACAAATTAGCTAAAAGTGTTTCAAAACAAGGAGGAAAAAACAATTTTGGATCACATTGCCATGAAAAACACAATGTAATAAATGCATTTAAATGAAAAACCTTTCATTTTTCCTACTTTTTAAGGGTTTTTAGTTTAGCTAAGCCTTTTTTTCCCCCACTGGATATTTAAAATAAATGTAGCTAAGAATTCCAAATATAAAAAAAAAAAGATATTGTGAGATTTTTTTTACATTTAAAGGGTATATGCTACCTTAAGCTTAACATTAATCAAGTCTTTATTAAGTACAACCTATATTTGATAAAGAGATAAATTAACATTGTAACTTGTGTAATTTTTTTGTTTTAGTTTAGTTGGGGATGAACTCAACCATACTTAATACTTTCAGTAAATAAACTTATGATGTTACCCTAACATCTAATGTTAGACCTTTTCAAAAACTTTGATAAGCTTTAAATAAGTTGTTGTACAAAATTTCTATTGAAGTATATTTATATCTACTGAAATGAAGTATGCACACATTTTCAGGAAAGAGAAAACTGAATATTATTATAATAAAGGTTGTACGCTATAATTAATATATATATATATATAAATGTATATGGATGTAATTAAAAATTACATAAATCTTTGAACTTTTGCTTGCTTTTATGACATTTACTATAGTAAAAAACTATCTATACAACAGTTTTAAATTTTAAATCTTTGTCACTACCTTTGTTGTATGCAGTTAGGTTATTACAGATACTTAAAAATGTTCAGTAACTATAACTTCCTTACATAACACAGTCAATTATCAATATTATTTTATTATGTTTTTCTCAGCTCACTATTAGCACATCATCTCATGCTAACTGTGAAAACAACATAGAAAAACATGCAAAATCACCTTTTAAAGATTGGCCATAAAAAAAAAAGTAGCAAGATTGAATTTCTCATAGATTGCATTTAGAGTTTAGAGATCGATGATGATTCACTTACTCTGCTGAGGCCTTCTGTTGGTCAATGTGATTAACCTGTTAAGCCTTACATGGCTTCATAAGAAATCTCTATCAGCTGAGTGTCATAAATTCAAAAGTGATGTCTGTGAAGGGTTAAAATGTAATGTTTTAACTGTAATAGTAAAACATGCTGTGCTAAAGTAGAAAGTTGCTTTTTGGGTAGAAAAAAGTTTGTAACTATTTTTCAAGTGAATGTTTATTTAAATCATTCGACACGGGTCGGTCAATTTGACCGAGTCATGTGACCTTCTGTACTCATTTAAAGTTGACATAAGTTTAATACTTATATCTCTCTATATATTGGGTAAATCTTCACGAAAATTTGCAGTCTTTCACATATAAGATAAAGTTTTGTCCATGAATATATTGAGTGTCTGTTTTAAAATAGTCCATGTGCAAAGGAATTTTCATGTTAAAATTAAAAATACTTTTCATCATCTCAAAGATCTCAAATTTCCTTTGTGTAATCCCTAAAACCTTCTAAATGCATTTCAAACTTTTTTTCCATTAAATCCGTATAGGTTTTATGTTATTTTCTCTACCCTAATCTCAAAACGGGATCGGTCAATTTGACTAACCTCGTAACCACCAAAAAAATCAAAATAAACCTAAATTAACCTTCTTTTCTTTCTAGTATGACTTCAAATTGCAACATGAAAGCACATTCGTTTATCCTAAGTAGCTCTAAGTTCGTAACATTATACATCTATTTGTAATTCAATTTTATTGTTTTATTGCCCTTTGAACCGTGTCTAACTGCTATCCACGCCATTATAAGTTGTAAGTCACTCAGGGAATGTGCAGCTCATGTTACGCTATCGATTTACATCACCAACAAGCTACTCGCATGCGTGTTCGTGAACAATTTTAATTATATTATTACTTATTTTACCTATTCTAGTCTTAAATAACTTAAAAAGATCCGTACTTTTAATTTTAGTTACTTTTATAATAATAAATAAAGAATAACTATGAAAAATAAGAAATAAAGTAACTACCCAATCTTCTTTTTAAACCTGATTTTTTTTAGCAATTATGGTAAAGCACTTAATAATTTTTATTTAATTAAATAATACACCAAAGAATATAGACTAATAACATGCAAAAAGTAAACAAATTCACTTACTTCTAAAAATTTTCCTGGCTTTTTAACTATGCGACAAGAGCCATTACAAATTCATCCAAGCTAGTCGTTAACTTTCCCAAGGGAATGATGTTGCTACCCAGAGTGAAATTGACAATTATTTGTTCAGAACACAATGTTATACAATATGCCATTTGATAGATG